GAAGAGACCCACCCCCCCTGGCTCCAGCCTCCTCTCAGGCAGTTGCAGAGCCAGCAGGTCTCCCCTCAGGCTCCTTTTCTCCAGGCTGAACACCCCAACTTCCTCAAGCTCATAAGAATCTGCAGACATTTGACACAGTGGCAGTTAAATGGTCAGTGATGCCATTCAGGGCCCAGGACACAGCTGGATTTCTGGAATGGAACCATGAAACACATGGAGACACTTGGCATGGCAGCAGTTGAAGGATTAGTGATGTCCTTCAGGGGCCTGTGACCAGCTCTGAGCCCCACTGGCTCTTTGCCTTTTTAACTGGCCAGAATGGAGAATTGCAGGGAGAGGGCACAGCTGGTGACACCTCCTTCCTCCAAGGCTGCTGCCACCCATCAGCACCTGAACTTGCAGCAGACAGAGAGAGAACTGTTTTACAGAAGCAAGTTGTGGCAGAGGTTGAGGAACAGACACCTCCAGCAAATCTGTGGTGTATTTGTGCTCTGATCAGCTGCCATCAGCCCTAAGCCTGCCCGTCATCCTCTGGGCAAAGCTGCAGCTCAGGGTCCTGGTGAACAACAGGTTGACCAGAAGTCAACAACGTGCCCTTGCAGACAAGAAAGCAAAGGCCTCCCTGGGGTGCCCCAGGGACACTGTGGCCAGTAGGTCAGGAAGCTTCTCCTCACCCTCTGTTTTCTCCTGCTGAGGCCACATCCAGAGAACTGGGTCCAGTTCTGGGCTCCCCAGTTCATGGAGGTCAAGGAGAGAGTCCAGGGCAGGGCCACAAGATGATGAGGGGGCTGGAGCATCTGCCCCCTGAGGAAAGGCTGAGGGAGCTGGGTCTGCTCAGCGAGGAGACTGAGGGGGAAGGGTCTGTTCAATGCTGAGCAGTTTGTACAGGGGTGTCAGGAGGACAGAACCAGACTCTTCTCAGCAGTGTGCAATGACAGGGCAAGGGGCAATGGGCACAAGCTGGAGCACCCGAGGTTCAAGCTAAACACATGTATGAAGGACCAGGTATTTCCTCTCACGAACACGAAATGCCCTTTAGGTCAGCAGACACGCCTGACTTGCAGGCGGCTGATCCACGTGGCGCTGAACGCTCCCCTGGTGCCTCCCTGGTGCCCCGAGGGGGCGGCGGCTGCGGGAGGAGCCGCGGCTTGCTTTGGGGGTGCCCTGAGCCTTGCTTTGGGAGTGCCCAGAGCCTTGCTTTGGGGGTGCCCTGTGCCTTGCTTTGGGGGTGCCCTGAGCCTTGCTTTGGGGGTGCCCTGAGCCTTGCTTTGGGAGTGCCCAGAGCCTTGCTTTGGGGGTGCCCTGTGCCTTGCTTTGGGGGTGCCCTGAGCCTTGCTTTGGGGGTGCCCTGAGCCTTGCTTTGGGAGTGCCCAGAGCCTTGCTTTGGGGGTGCCCTGTGCCTTGCTTTGGGGGTGCCCTGAGCCTTGCTTTGGGGGTGCCCTGTGCCTTGCTTTGGGGGTGCCCTGTGCCTTGCTTTGGGGGTGCCCTGTGCCTTGCTTTGGGGGTGCCCTGAGCCTTGCTTTGGGGGTGCCCTGAGCTTTGCTTTGGGGGTGCCCTGCCTGCAGTGCCCGCAGCCCGAGGTCCCGGCTGCAGCCCTAGTCCCGGCTCGCCCAGTCCCGGCTCTCGCCTGGTTCCGCTTCGCTCCAGCCAGACCCGGCAGGACCCAGCCCGTCCCGTCGCCGCAGCCCTTCCTGCCCGCCTGCCTGCAGTGCCTGCAGCTGCCACCCTCAGGAACCCGTCTGCTGCTGAATACGGTGGTGAGACTGATTCCTGCCAGCCCTGGTCCTAACCGGGTTGCAGGGGAAGGCACAATCCTGTCTTACCTGCACTCAAACCGCGACCCTGCAGGGACCAGCGTCGGGCATATCCCTCCTCCTCCTCCCCTCATAAATGAGTAAATAAGGTGTGTAACCAAGGTGTACCCATATATGAGTGTTAAGACATAAGTTCTTGTTATTTGATGCTTAAAAGATATTTCACAGCTCGTATGTGCTTTAATTACCCTTTTTGAACCTCCTGCCCCAAATTGCTCTGTTTTCCCCACAATAAACCGTGCATTTTGTAAATTCTAATTGGGGATTGGCTGCTGTTATTGGACATATTAGTAAGTACTGAGCAAGTTACTCACTCGAAAAGCCAGTGCCGAAGCCCCTGCTCCTCTGTGCGAGGCGAGCGCCACGTGCAGACCCCTCAGCAGACCCTGACAAGATAAATACACTCCAAAAAGGAGATATAATCGGTCATGGATCACGACAATATGCAGAAACTTTACTGAGTGGGTGGCAGAGCCCTGGGACAGGCTGGAGGCTCCTTCCCTGGAGACACTGCAGACCTGCCTGGACATGCTCCAATCTCAAAGCTCTCAGCTGACTCTTCTCCTGCTGGCTGCAGCTTCACCCACCTCCTGCCTGTGCAGGTTTCACCCCTCCCTGCACATGCTCCCCAGCCCCTCGGGGTGTTTGTTCCACCACCAGTCTGTCGTTCTGAGCCCACACTGATGCAGCTCAGCAGACACCTCAGATTGCTGCTCGTCCCTCACCAGGTCTGAACTGAATTTCTTTTGCCAAGTGTCTGACTCGTTCTGCCACAGTTTCTGGGGATTTCCAGTGTTCCTCAGCCCAGCTACACCCTTTTGGGGCTGGACCAGCTTTAGAACCTTGAACAAACCCAGCAGTGGGGAGCAGCCAGGATCAGGCCCATCCTGGGCTGCCACGACCTCCTGCTGGAGAATTTGCCTTTGACCAACGACCAGTTCTCCTCTATCCAGCCTGGCT